TTCATACAATACACTTGCATAATATTTTATTATTTTAATAAAATAATAATAATTAATAATCTGGTTGAACTTGCAATGTCACCTTGACCCAGATTTGCAGAAATTAGTTTTAACTAAACAACTTATATTTAGCTCACAAAAATAGGTGAGGTTTTTTTTTTGTTTAGTTGATTTAGTTTGTTTGCTTCTTTGTTTGTTTTGAACACCTACAAAGTTGCCTGGGTAGTGTCCAAGTTATTCCACTAACAGGCAAGACAACTATCTTTCAAGACAATCGAAGTAAGGGCAAAGAAAAGATGGGATATAAAGATAAATCACTCAGTGATCATGTTAATGAAAATATGTACAGAGCCTTATTGTATCAACTGTTGAAAGGAACCCTACAAAGAGCTGGCAGTAGTGTTTTATTATGTCTCTAATAAAGAAGCATTTCTGACATCTGTAAATTACCTGTCTTAAAGAAAAACAAAGTCTTGAAATGTAAGGGTCCTCTGATGAAGCTGAGGTCAGTAGAGTTACACCTGGGAATAATTTGGATGGCAATGTTTTTATTTATTATTTATTTATCATTTATTTATGCTGCAATTGCAGAGCTCCAATCACAGGCCAATCCCTCACTGTGCTAGGCACTGTACAAACACATAACAGAAAGATAGTCCTCTTCCCCAAAAAGCATCCACTTTAAGAGAAACGACAACAGGTGGATACAGACAGACAGGGGAGCACAAAGAAACAATGAGACCGCATTGGTCAGCATGAGAGGCAGCGGTCTCAACACACCAGCTCCCTAATAGTTGTCAGGTTTTCTGTAGGACTCATGGCAACAGCAAATGACTACTGAAATCAATGGAAATTCTGTATGGGGACTGGATACAGAATGTAGACCTAAGTCTTTATATTTTTCACTGTCAACAACCAATTTTCAATGCAAACATTTAAAAAATCCCTTAATCGCCCACACACTTAATTCTGAAGAAGAAATTAAAGTTTTATCACTCTTTTTTATCTTTACCTGACAATCTCATTATTCACAGAAATAGCTTCCAGATATTTCTTCAGTGCATAGTAATTATGGATATATTTTCGAATATAATAGCCTCGCCATCTTTTCTGAATCTAGAAGAAATATAATTTTACTTTAGTATATTTCATGCAATGTAGTAGTGAAAACAGTTTGCAATACGCTTATAAAATACGTGTTATATTTTTCAAAGGATGATGGTGCTTTAAAAAGTGACATCACGCATATACGTAAATATATCTTTCCATTAATACAGTGAGGGTGAGAAGTAAGTCTTGTACTAAAACTGTATTAGAGATGTTATCAAGAGATGACAGTGATTATAAACGAATAGTGATTTAAGTCGTTGCCTGCATTGAGGTGTGGCAGGGAGTAGGGGCTCTGCACAGGCATCTACTCCCACCGTTATTGCACCTGGTGACACAGGTCCTGTAAGTGGGGTAGGAAGAACATCCAGAATGTTGTAATCATTCACAGTGCGTAGCATTTTATCACCCCAGCTCTACTGCACTCTCAGCTGTGCACTGTGGGTCTGATCCTAAGCCCAATGAAGTTAGTAGAAGACTTTCCACTAACTTCAGTGGCTTTTTGATCAGGGTCTCTATGAGGTTTCCAGTAGCACTGCATGTTCTACCATTCCCTGGGTCCTGCAGGCAAGCGGCATCATCCTGCAAGGTGCCGACCACACACTATATTCATTATTATTAAGAAGCAAGACAGTACAGGGCTATTTGTTAAGTAATTAGTCATAATATTTTCATAGAATGCTATCCTTCCAACAAAACTGATGGGAATTATGTAGAAAAAAGATGAAGGGAAATTTCTTACATGTAAATAATTACCTTAATGTAGTCCTGTTTATTAATACACTATATTAGGCCATGTGGTCTCCTAAACATAGCATCAGGAGAGGGGGATTCATAGCTCTATGTATTTTAAATTTTAGGCCACAATTCTGACTAGAATTTCCCAAGAATTTAATCAACAACACTGCTCAAACTAGCTCTGCTGCTTAATTCTGACCATGGTGACTCTAAAATGTTGATTATTTTAAATCACTTTAGGTTTAGCACTGTGATATCTGTTTCTTTGGAAATGGAAGTAAGAAGTAATTAGCAGCAGAGTTGTAAGAATTCTTGTAATTTCAGTGGCTGCTGACTAAAAACCAGATTAATTCCTATGTGGACATGCAGAGACAGAGAGGAGGCAGCTTGTTCTTCCCCTATTCAGAGGATGTGAGGGCCAGTGCAGAGGGCTGCTCCCACTCCACATTTTCTTTCCTGTAATATATATCAATGTATCTTTTCTCATGTTGACTTCTGTGTATATTTCCTCTCTGCCTTCTCTTTCCCTCCATCCCTTATGTAACTTTCCCTACATACTGTTCTCTATTTCCTTCCTTTTATTTTGTCTTCTCCTGTTTTACCTAAGATCTCTCTGTAGATATGACACTTCTCATTTCTAAGTTATCACTCTCAGGTTTATATCACAGCCTTATATCACTCGCACGCCCATTCACCTCCCAACACCCATCCCCACAGCCCAAGCTCCACACACAGCACTTAGAAATGTTACTCGACACCTAAAAGCCAAAGAGCTAAATCTACTAGCTAATGTGCAAAAGATTGGGGTCCCACTGCCCAGGAGCACTATCCAGGTGAGAAACTACTCGCTAGCTATTGGGAAAGGAGAGGATGCTGGGACTGATACCACAGATGCATTCCTAACCCTACCCAGGAACTCTTTCTGCCTAGTAGGTGCCTGGAAAATTTGAACACCCCAGCACAGTTACCAAAAACAAGAGGAGGATTTTTCTCTTTTTTTGTTGCTCTTGCCCTAAACAGCGACCATCCCCTCCAACCTTCCCCTCTTGAGGACTCCTGGCCAAGGTAACAGCACAATATATATGCTAACAAATTTAAACAAAGCCTTTGTTTAAGTTTGTTAGCATATGTATTGTGCTGAATGCCCTCCCCAGCCACCTCCTGCTCCTTTAAGGAACAGAGCGCAGCCCCAACCTCTCCCCCCCACCCCCGGAGGGCAGGCCTAGCCCCAAGTCTTTCCGATACCCCATACCTACTAAAAATCTCTTGCCAATACTGCATATTGGAAGGTCTTTGGGAGAGGGGCTGCCTATTACTGTATATCTGCATACTATCTAACACAACAAGTTTGGACTGCTAGGCACTCCTGTAATATAAAATAATAAATAATAATTATGTAAGCTGCTACAACGAAGGTTAAGTATTAGACATAGTCCTCTGCACTACATGGTTATAATTCTTGTGTCCCTTTCCCATTCATGTTCTTATACACAACAAGCATGCAGAGTAAAAAAAGGAGAGGAAGGGGAATAGTGAAAATGGGCATATTTGCAGAGATCTGGGTTTAAACAAAATTTTTAGTGTGTGAATGCACGGTATGTTTTCATCTTTGGCCTCACTACTGCTATTAGGCAGGAGTAACTTGGCTGCCCTATAGCTGTGCTCTCCTTAAAGCAGTCTCCTTCGAACTTTTGTACCTTATTTTGTAAAGATAAGGAACATTTTGTACCTTATCTTTATTAATGTGATACTCCAAATTTGTGCGGTCCACAATCAACTTCTTTACGGAAATTTTTCAAGATTTAAAGACAAAGGATGAAATTTTGTCCCTACTGTAGTCAATGGCAAAACTCTCAGTGTTTTCACTGGGGCCAGGATTTCACCGCAAGTGTCAAATTCTGTCCTCGATTACAGCATTATAAGTCAAGGGTAACTCTATGGACTTCAAAGGGAGTACTCTAGATATATGCTAGTGTAAATGAAAGCAGACTAGATTTCAAAGTTTTTAATGCTATGATTCCATTTTCCCAATTCTGCATGTCAGAGGCCACATGAGGGCATGCATCTATATGATACAAGCTGTTTAGAGAATAAAGTATATCTTCAAGCTTTTACACAAAGCTTCTGTTTATGTTAAAATTTGCTACATAAAAGTTGCTGAAAATTTTGCTTTTGCAACAGAGTACAATGTTTTATGATTATATTGCTTTTTAATTCCAAGGTGAATGTTTTAACACTTCTAAAAAAGACAACTGTGTATGCCCTTCAAAGTAATTAGCAAGTTTCAACAGTGATTGGTACAAAACAATTATTGTCATTGATCAGCACTGAACAGATAATTTTAAACAAAGTCATTGTGTGCTCAGCAGATTACAGCTTGTTAACAGGCAAGTTCTAAATGACCTCTTAAGCTAGTCAAATCAATGATGCATATTCCTCATTAAGTAACATCAAAATGTAAGTGGTCTTATAAATAATGTTTATTTTAAGCACTAAAACTAATGGCAAAACCTTGATATATCAAAAGCCATCTGCTCATGGAGATTTTATTATTATTATTATTTTATTTTGAGGGGATTACTTTGGTTGCTGAAAATTCATAGCAACCTTAAATCGCCCAAACAGAAAGAGAATAATATATCACCGCCCAATATTCAAAAAGTAAAATTGATTAACGGAAAATAAATTCAATATGATAAGCTTATGTTTTAAACCATTTCTGAATGTTTCTGTTTTTACAGAGGGGAGAGAGAGATAACAGTAGCTAGGGCCAAATAATCCAGGGAGATAGCTTCTGAACATGACCTATGAGTATACTTTAGGCCTGGTCTACACGACGAGTTTATGTCGGATTTAGCAGCATTAAATCGAATTAACCCTGCACCCGTCCACACAACGAAGCCATTTTTTTCGACATAAAGGGCTCTTAAAACCGATTTCTGTACTCCTCCCCAATGAGGGGATTAGCGCTGAAATCAACATCGCTGTTTCGAATTAGGGTTAGTGTGGACGCAATTCGAAGGTATTGGCCTCCAAGAGCTCTCCCACAGTGCACCATTGTGACCACTCTGGACAGCACTCTGAACTCGGATGCACTGGTCAGGTGTACAGGAAAAGCCCCGGCAACTTTTGAATCTCATTTTCTGTTTGGCCAGGCGAGCTCATCAGCACAGGTGACCACGCAGTCCCAGAATTGAAAAAGAGCTCCAGCATGGACCGAATGGGAGGTACTGGATCCAATCGCTGTATGGGGAGAGGAATCCATGCTATCAGAACTCCGTTCCAAAAGACGAAATGCCAAAACATTTCAAAAAATCTCTGAGGCCATGAGAGACAGAGGCTACAGCAGGGACACAACACGGTGCCGCGTGAAACTTAAGGAGCTCAGACAAGCGTACCAGAAAACCAAAGAATCAAACGGACACTCCGGGACAGAGCCCCAGACGTGCTGCTTCTATGCTGAGCTGCATGCAATTCTACAGGGGGCTGCCACCACTTCCCCACCCCTGTCCGTGGACTCCGATGATGGGGTACTTTCTGCCATGCCTGAGGATTTTGCAGACGGGGAAGATGAGGAGGACGAGCTTGGGGAGAGCACACCGTTCTCCCCGACAGCCAGGATCTTTTTATCACCCTGACTGAAATACCCTCTCAATTCAACGAAGCCGGAGAAGGGACCTCTGGTGAATGTACCTTTTAAAATATAATACATGTTATAAAAGAAAGCGTTTTTTTAATAATTAAGTAGCCCTGAGGACTTGGGATGCATTTATGGCCAGTACAGCTACTGGAAAAGTCTGTTAACGTGTCTGGGGATGTAGCGGAAATCCTCCAGGGACATCTCCATGAAGCTCTCCTGGAGGTACTCTAAAAGCCTTTGCAGAAGGTTTCTGGGGAGGGCAGCCTTATTCTCTGCTCCATGGTAGGACACTTTTCCATGCCATGCTAGTAGCAAGTAATCTGGTATCATTCCATGACAAAGCCTGGCAGCGTACGGTCCCGGTGTTTGCTGGCATTCAAGCAACATCCGTTCTTTATCTCTCTGTGATATCCTCGGGAGAGTGATATCGTTCATGGTAACTTGGTTGAAATACGGGAATTTAATTAAGGGGACATTCAGAGGTGGCCATTCCTTCTGGGCTGTTTGCCTGTGGCTAAAAAGAAATCCTCCCTGCAGTTAGCCATGTGGTGCGGGGGTGGGGGGGGGAGCCATTGGCGCTGAACTGTTCACATTAGGCTAGCACGTTTGGCTTCCCTGATACCAGCCATGCGGTGGGGGGAGGGGTAAAGCGATCATCCCAGAGAATTGGATGGGGGGAGGGATTTAGTTTGGTTTCTGCTGCTGCACGTTAACAGGAAAACCGCAGCACTAAAGGCCAACTCAATGTGCTTCGCTTGGTATGGGAGAGGAGAGCGCTGCTGTTATGAAGGTTGCAGAAGCCGAAAGACTGTGGCTTACCATGGCCACCTGCAAGCCAAATTCTGTTGCCCGGCACTGCGTGTGTGATCTCTAACACCAAAGCCACAAAAAGAAAAGGAGTACTTGTGGCACCTTAGAGACTAACCAATTCATTTGAGCATGAGCTTTCGTGAGCTACAGCTCACTTCATCGGATGCATGCTGTGGAAAGTGTACACTTTCCACAGCATGCACTTATGCTCAAATAAATTGGATAGTCTCTAAGGTGCCACAAGTACTCCTTTTCTTTTTGCGAATACAGACTAACATGGCTGTTACTCTGAAACCAAAGCCACAGGCACTCAATATAAGATGCAAAATGCGACCTTGTACCAAAATCACATGCTATGTAATGTGAATAGTGTTGTTCACTGTGAAAGAGTATAGCCATTGTTCTGTAAAATGTATCTTTTTAAATACTTCACTCTCTTTTTTCCTGCCAGCAGCTGCAAATGTTTCAAGCCTCCCTCCTCTGTCCCAAAGGCTATCTCAGATAAGGCGGCGAAAAAACGCATGCGCGATGAAATGTTCTCTGAGCTCATGCAGTTGTCCGGCACTGACAGAGCTCAGCAGAATGTGTGGAGGGACACAATAGCAGCATACAGGAAAGCGGCTGATGAACATGAGGAGAGGTGGCAGCAGGAAATTCAGAGGAGGCATAATGCAATGCTGGGGCTACTGCAGGATCAAACAGACATGCTCCGGCGTCTAGTGGAGGTTCAGGAACGGCAGCAGGATCACAGACTGCCGCTGCAGCCCCTGTTTAACCGCCCTCCCTCCTCCCCAAGTTCCATAGCCTCCTCACCCAGACACCCAGGAACGCAGGGGGGGGGGGGAGACTCAGGGCACCCAACCACTCCACCCCAGTGGACAGCCCAAGCAACAGAAGGCTGTCATTCAACAAGTTTTGAAGTGGCCTTTTCCTTCCCTCCTACCCTCTTCCCACACCCTACCTGGGCTACCTTGTGAGTTATGTCCCTATTTTTATAATCAATTAATAAAGAATACATGTTTTTTAAACGACAGTGACTTTATTTCCTTTGCAAGCAAGTTGTGATCAAAGGAGGGAGGGCCGGTGGCTTACAGGGAATTTAGAGTCAACCAAGGGGGCGGGTTTTCATCAAGGAGAAACAAACAGAAGTGTCACATAGTACCCTGGCCAGTCATGAAACTGGTTTTCAAAGCTTCTCTGATGTGCACCGCTTCCTGCTGTGCTCTTCTAACCGCCCTGGTGTCTGGCTGCGCATATTCAGCAGGCAATTTGCCTCAACCTCCCACCCCGCCATAAACGTCTCCCCTTTACTCTCACAGAGATTGTGGAGCACACAGCAAACATCAATAACAATGGGAATATTGGTTTCGCTGAGGTCTGAGCGAGTCAGTAAACTGCACCAGCGCACTTTTAAATGTCCAAATGCACACTCTACCACCATTCTGCACTTGCTTAGCCTATAGTTGAACAGTTCCTTACTACTGTCCAGGGTGCCTGTGTACGGCTTCATGAGCCAGGGCATTAAGAGGTAGGCTGGGTCCCCAAGGATAACTATAGGCATTTCAACATCCCCAACAATTATTTTCTGGTCTGGGAAGTAAATCCCTTCCTGCAGCCGTTTAAACAGACCAGAGTTCCTGAAGACGTGAGCGTCATGAACCTTTCTCGGCCATCCCACATTGATGATGGTGAAACTTGTGATCCACCAGTGCTTGCAGCACCACTGAAAAGTAGCCCCTGCGGTTTATGTACTGGCTGCCCTGGTAGTCCGGTCCCAAGATAGGGATATGTGTTCCATCTGTTAGGGAATCCCATTGCAGCAAAGCCAGCTACTATGACCTGCACATTTCTCAGAGTCACTACCTTTGATAGCAGCAGCTCAATGATTGCATTGGCTACTTGCATCACAACAACCCCCACAGTAGATTTGCCCACTCCAAATTGATTACCGACTGACCGGTAGCTGAGGGCTACTGCCACTCGCTTGTGAACTGTGAGGTACTCTTGGTATTCTTGTGCTTCAGGGCAGGGGAAAGCAAATCACAAAGTTCCATGAAAGTGCCCTTACGCATGCAAAAGTTTCGGAGCCACTGGGAATCATCCCAAACCTGCAACACTATGCGGTCCCACCACTCTGTGCTTGTTTCCTGGGCCCAGAATCGGTGTTCTGTGGCATGAGCCTGCCCCATTAACACCATGATCTCCAAATTGCTGGGGACCACGGTTTTAGAGAAATCTGTGTTCATGTCCTCAGCACCACGCTGCTGTCGCCGCCTCGCCTGGTTTTTCAGGTGCTGGTTCTGAATAAACTGCACGATAATACGCGAGGTGTTTACAATGGTCATAACTGCTGCGGTGAGCTGAACAGGCTCCATGCTTGCCATGCTATGGCATCTGCTCCAGGGAAAAGGGAAGGAAATTATTGTCTGCCATTGCTTTCACGGAAGGAGGGAGGGTTGACTGACGACATTTACCCATAACCATCCGCGACAAATGTTTGGCCCCATCAGGCATTGGGAGCTCAGGCCAGAATTCCAATGGGCAGCAGGGACTGTGGGGACTGTGGGATAGCTACTCACAGTGCACCGCTCGGAATGTCGACGCTTGCCATGGTACTGTGGACACACACCGCCGAATTAATGTGCTTAGTGTGGACACATGCACTCGATTTTATACAATCTGTTCCCAAAAATCGACTTCTGTAAAATCGGAGTACTTTCGTAGTGTAGACATGTTACTCCTACTGTTGCAGTTTCAGGTCTCTTCCTAAGCAAATGTAACCAACTAGGCTGATAGAGTTATGAGGCAAAACACTGTATACAAGAGGTTAAGTCCAAGAGTCACATTTCACTTTTAATCTAACCTTGATTTTAAAAGAATTATCTAAACCTAAGAGTATAATGCACTTACACACTAAAGAACTTATTCACAACTTTTTATACTCCTGTTTTCTGTGAATGTAACTCCACTGATTTCAATGGGTTTACACTCATGTAAAACTGGAGTAAAGCAGTTGTAAATCAGGCCCTAGAGCAGCTATCTCTAAACCCAACAGCCCTTATTCTCTAATGGTCTACATCTTATACAGCCATTTATATCTGTGCACAAGGAGGCAAAATGGATATAAAACTCTACCAAATCAAAATGGTAGCATTTTTACATTCACTTGCATAGGTATCAATGACTACACAAAAAGAAAAAAGAAAAGGAGTACTTGTGGCACCTTAGAGACTAACCAATTTATTTGAGCATAAGCTTTCGTGAGCTACAGCTCACTTCATCAGATGCATGCAATGGAGACTCACAGCCAGTGTTTATAAGTAAATGAAAACAATGGACCAGATCTTCTATTGGTGTAAATTGATATATTTGCACTGACATCAGTGACTCTAGGCACTTTTACACCATTGAAAACAATGGGACTACGCAGATATCAGCTGAGAATCACACCCAATATTTTGATTACTGTATAAATGTACAGGAAAAAAGTTTTGTTTTATGTTGCATATCAAAGGCCCTACCCTTTTCCCTTGGAGTTTTGCACAAGTATATTTGACTTAAGTATGTAACTGCCTCTGAAACCCGGGAGTGCTGAAAGAGACATAGGGCCTATTTCTGAGCTGATTTACAAATCCTATGCTTTTCCACTGACTTCAGCTGCATGAGATGTAAATCAATGCAGCATTTATCCCATTGTAGAATACTTTTAAAACAGCTATTAACTAAGCAATAAACTAAAACAAAATAAGTATTTCTGGGCAATTGGCGC